TTATTTACTAGATTAGAGGTAAGTTTTTCCTTTTTCCGGCACTTAATCAGAATATGTTTTATGGATATTAATCGCGTGTCTAGGATGTTCCGTATTGGAAGATTGTCCTTAAAACATAATATATGTTTTGCTATAAATTATTTGCTATAAATTATTGTTGTACAATAATGTGAGGAGAATGACGTTCTTTAACTCAGAGACGAAAGAGAACCATTAGAAATTTCTCACTTCCAAATATAAAAAATTATATTTTAAGAGACACATTTTATTTCATAATACATATACTCATTTATAATGTATATATTATTTTTATTACGGCAAAAATGGTTGCATTTAAATATCGATTTGAATATTGATCGATGACGTTAATGACAATAACGTGTTTTTTATCGTATAATTCAGTTCGTGCGAGTTAACGACGATGCTCGACGCTTTGACGTCTCTTTGTATGCGCTTGTAATTTTTTTTAATCCAGTCGAATGAGATCGAGATACGCCAATCGCGAACGTAACAGAATTTCTGCCACGTACGTAGTCATTTGCATATGGTTGCGTGTGTGCGGAAATTCCGCGGTGCTGTGCGGAAATTTCATATCGGTAATGTTGCATACGCCCGTCGCAGTAACATAGCAATATTAAATTCCGTGTTTATTCTGGTGGTGCGAGCGTGGCTGTCCGCGTTATTATGGATCGTAATGATGGATCTTGCTCATTTCGCGACTACTTGAACGGACGAAGACGTTCGCTCTTGCCCTTTCAACTTGCCCTGTCCGCATATTCGTTCGCGCCTCATCGGGCGTCTCGTCGACTTCTTAGACGCTCGCTTATTTATACATCCACCTTTTTCCAAGCACATCGCGTATCGCCTGGAATCGCCTCGTCTTACGTAGAGTATTCTATAAATATTTAGTGACCCTTATTTTCTTGTTTCTCTCACTGGCGCGGTACTTGAATTTTTTTCATTATTTCTTCTTTTATCAATTCTGAAAACCGCGGTTATTTGCGCGCAGGCGAAAAAAATATATTTATAAATGTAGAAAGAGTCTTTCTTTTATCAATTTTAAGTTTCAAATATTTCTTTTGATGATAAAAGTAGATTTATTTATATCTTTATCGTTACTTTTTTTATAAATAATACTTTTTTTTATTAGGTAACCGATGAGACAGAAATATATATTTTATTTTTCAAAAATATTTATCTTTTAATTTTCAATTTTATATATTTTATTTTTGAGAAATTACTATTTTATTAGCTTTATGTAATATTTATATACGCATTTTTTGAATTTATTTATATCATTTATATGCGAATTTTTACATATTAATACTGCTTTAAAATATTCTATCTACTCTTTTATTATTTAATGTTTATAAATTTGAATTTGCTTTTGAATTTTATAATTTAGAATTTTTTAATCAGTTTTCGTTAATGTATTTTTTTTACAAATAACTTTGAGAGAGATTACAGCTTTGAAAAAAACTGCAAATTAATCTAATAATTACTAATTAACTATTAATAGATTGTGGTACAAAATTTATTATAGCGATAAACTTGTTTACCGAAACAATATAATTAATTCAATCAACAGAAAGCCATTATAAAAGAAGTTTCATATATTTTGATTATTATAAAATATTTTTGTAAATAACAGAAAATTTAATTTAAATATATAGACTCCAGAAGCGACTAATTACTACGACTAATCTTAAAGTAGATCACGTTTTAAATTTAATTTGATTTATTTTTGTAACACATTTCAATAAAGAGAGGCGCTGCTATATTGAAAAGTATTATCACGGATCGTTAACGCGGTCTTATCAGAAAGAAGAAGAGGGATTTTCATCTTTTGTTACATTTTCAAATATCAAAATCGTGAAACTGAAAAACGTGATCTTGACGGAGATGCGAAAGAAAATTCGAGAGATCTCCGTCGAAGCTACGTTTTCGTCTACATGAAGTTTCGCATCTATCGTGGATTTCCGCCAGTAAATCCGTTAAAGAAGAGCTTCTTCTGCAAAGAGTTATGTCGCGAGCGACTCTTGCGCATATTTGACGCGTACGTGAATGGAAGGATTAAATAAAATAGGTCGCGTCGCGTCGCATCGTATTAGAACTGCGACAAATTTTATCGTAGATTCATATCGGAGATTTTATCATACGTCACGAATTTCATCGTCCATTACATCTTTATCGCAAATTTTATTCCTTCGCTGAATTCAGATTGCAACTTTTCAATAGGGGAATTTTTTAATGAAAAAAATAGAAAAATCCCTTTTGATTGGAGAAAAGATTTATCTTTCTGGTTGCGTTTGCGCTTGGCCGCGAATTAATACAAACTTTATGCAATCAATGTGCATGATATGCAACTCCGTAATTTGCCAATTTATTTCCGTCTGGTGCACTGGGAATTTCGGGAAAACGCGTCGAGTTTAATTTGGCAAGTTAGACTAGCACGTTTAAAGGGTAAACAAGATACTAATTTGATCGCACAAATATCACGGTACCGTTGCAATATTCCTGAAGTAAAATCAGAACGTGATTGGCTTATTTATCATTAACCGACAATATCGCATTAAAGGGGAGACCGCATTAAACCTGACGCAGCAATTGTTTGTATTATTGAAATACATCAAGATATTTGTTGTAATTTACATATGAAACATTTATGGGACTTATAAGATTAAACTTGGACCGGACCTTTTTTTAGAATGTAAAACAAAACACGTCGCGGCTTGTTTTGACAATTCTATACAAACCCTCAAAATCAGATTCTCTTCAAACGCGGGGCTGCCACCATCATCCGGGATTGCCACCACCATACGTTTCTGCCTACGTTTCGACGCTCGTATCGCTCGTAAATCTCCGTCTGGGACAGTCGACACGAGCGGGACAGATCGGTCCCGGCGAAAAGGGTCCCAACGATCGCGATAAATCATCGGGTCCGCCGTGCCCCGGTCAATTACAAAGCTGCTGCTCGGTAAATAACGAATTACGTGGCTTTCAATTTGCCCGCGCGGTATAATGGCCATTGAATTCCGTCGGCATCGAAAGCTTTACGGAATGCCCTCGGGATCGATCTGCGTTTGTATTTGCACTCCGGATCGGCTGGACTTCACACTAGGCTTTCGCGTTCTCGTTAGTCTTCATTAGCTAATTAACGTCGCGCCGCGCAGAACAAATAAACAAAAAAAGAAAGGAAAGAAGAATGGCACGGAAGCGCTATGACAGGTGGAATAGACGCCAGCACTGAATTTCGACTCCGTGTCACGACGTCTGTCACGTTTCTGATAATTTACCACGCTGCGATGCAAAAAGTTCGTTGCTATAATAACTTATCCTATAAAGTTATGACAGATTGTCGGATTGCCAGCGAGATAGATATAATTTAAATATCACGATATTATCTCGTCAGTGTATTTATCTAAATGATATACATTATTAATATAGTTATAGGAAATTGATAACAATTTTGCAAACTGAATTAGAGAGGAAATATCGATGTTATGTTACGTATTTATATGATATTTTATCGAGAAATATTCAGGATTACTAGATAACATTTCTTTGTATAAATATTTTGTTACACAATTCCCAGTACACTTTTCCCGCAATCTTTCCACATTTCCTCGAACACGAGTTCTGCGAAAAGTCCGCAACGATGATATTAAATTACTCTGTTTGCGAGTTACAACAGCGAAACCAACTTTCAGTGTACTCGAGTCTTCTCAACAAATTGTTTCTACCTAAGGAAGACATACTCTGGAGCATTACGTTGATCGACATCATCATCATTATCACTCCGTGATCATTAGTTCTAAACGATTAATCGAATAAAACGAAGAAACGTTAGCAAAAAAAGGCGCAAGGTATTTTAAGGATGAAGGGTCGGCCTTGAAGAGCTGGTCGGGCCTGCAAGGCCTGCCGGGGAAGAACGAACAAGAGAAACCGACCACCGGGAGGGTCGTCACCCCCTCCTAAAAAAAAGGGGTCGAGGCCTGGCACCAGGTCAAAAGCTCGGTCACAATAGGTTGCCTGCAAAGCGCTGGTTCCCGGGGGTCGGAGGCGGAGGAGGAGGGTGGTGGCATCGGGGACAGTGGCGAGGGAGGCGGCACGAGTATGTGCTGCGTCCTCCAGGGTGCCGAGAGAGTGTTCCCCTCCACCGGGAACGGGGGGAAACACGGGACGGGAACGGGAAGCGGCAAGGGCGCCGGCGGCACCCCCGTGGGCGCCCAGGACTTACCCCTCGAATCACTCTGGGCGGCCGGCCTGGACGAGGGGATGGGGTTCCCACAAAGATGCTCCTATGCGAATCAACACACTACTCTCGCCGCAGCCTCTTCTATAAGCCATACGTCCCCTGCGAATCCGGACGAGCTCTGGAGAGAGAGAAACCTCCCTCATAGGTATATACCGTTATTCGCGAAATTGACTAATCATTTTAAAATTTTTTGAAAATTTTAAATTTAAAAGAAAGTTTTTCTTTTAAAATTCTCTTTTAATTCTCGTAATAAAAAAAAAAAAGAAAAGAGAACAAGCTTGTCGAAAGTTTTCACAGCTTTTATATTATCAGAAAAATATCAAAATAAAAATGTATTTTTGAATTATTTTTAAATATTTTTAAGATGCTTAAGTTTCGCAAACTATTATATCAGAAATCGTTTTTCAAGTCGACTCTTTGTCATCGAAATGTTAACTTATATCTAATTATATATGTAACATAGTTCAGTTATATGTTTAAATATTATATATTTAACATACATCTTTATCTTAATTAATTTGCGATTAATTTTTTTTCTTGCGTTTTTTTGACAGAAACTTAGCTTCTAATACAAATTGAATTCTCTTCAGTCTATTGAAATCGAAATTTCGTTATCAGTCTACTTTTTTTGTCTTTTTCAAACGCAATTAAAACGAAACCGAGCGTGTTACTGTATAACTGGCTTAGAGAGTATAAAAGATCTCAATATCCCGCCGTATCAATACAATAGCGGCTATAGAAATACTCGCTCGCGCAGAACGCCCACGACCTCCACGGGGATCGGTTCCTCGATCACAGATGAGATATGGACGTCGGCGAACGAGCGGCGATTTTGCCGCACCTCGACCACCTCGACCGGCATCGGCTCGTCCCTGAATCTGCACGAGAACAATCGCTCATTGGAGTCGCGCGATGGCGATTTCTACTCCACGGATATCGAGGACTCCAAGGACACCTCTTACCGGAGATTCTACCCGACCACACCGACCACTTCCGGCCTGGGCTCCTCCTCGGATCGACAATCCGTCGAAACGCAGTGCGGTTCCAGGGATCTACCCGATCATCTTTGGGCAGCCGCGATGGAGGACGGTTTCTCGCGTTTCAACGCCATGAAGTCGTTGCAGACGATCACGCGACAGCCCCGTCCGAATCACGACTGGGTGAAGACCGAGCGTATCTCCAGGTTCACCAAGCACCGCACCATCAGCCAGTCGCCGCAACGCGAGCAAGAGATCTGGTCGTCCAAGCTGAATGAAAGCGCCGTGGTCTCCGGCTATGCCACCCAGAGGAATCTTGGTCCTCACAAGTGTCATCATCAAGCGCGCAGGAGTTTCTCCACGTCGATCGTCGCGGATCTCGCCGTCACGCCGGACGGATCTCAGCAGAGTCTCGGCAGTGGCGAGTTCCTGGTGAGTCTTGGTGTCGTCTCAGTGTCGTATCTTGCTGTAGTCTCTTGTACTTTTTCATTGGCCTTAGCGGTTAGAGTTTCAAGCTGCTTCTAAATGTTTTATTGCAATTATGCTAAAATCACATATAAATTTTCTCATACAAGAGAATCTCTCAAATATATAACTAAATATATATATAATATATAAATATCCAACTAAGAAATATATAAATATATAACTAAATACATCGTAAGATTAAATAAATGATGATTTACACAACTTCTTACATTTATGGTTGAAAATGTATGACACTCGCGAGCCATAATTTTCCTCGCAAACGAATTACAGTTTTAAAATTTAAAATATTCTTAGAATCAATATACGGTCCGGTCTCATTAAAGCCACTTATTGTAGTTATTATTGTTGCAATTGCACAGAACATTTGTGCCATTTGCGAGCTTAATATCGCTCAGTATTTACTCGTCGAATGTTTCTTTTTTTTTTTTCGCAAGGGTGCCTTCGCGCTTCGTTCCGTTGTGCAAATAATAATTCTTCCAGTCGGTCTATAAAAATGTGCCACCGGTAGGAAACAGCACAAAATTACAAACCACAATTCTCGGCACGCGGTCTCTAACCGTTGATTATCGTAATGACCTCGGGCACCCAAGGAAACGTCCTCGACCGAAGTGGGCGGCCGCCACGAGCGCTCTCAACCCTTTCTCCTCGCTTCCACAATGCGAGAAGGGACTTAACCGACTGACTTATCGCGCCTGGCTTTGGATTATCTTGCGGCGAAGTCGCGTAGCCCCGTCGCGAAACTCATTTCCTAGCTTTCTTTTTGCCGCGGCGGAGGCTTTGACGCGAACTCCCGAGTCTGCAAACTGAATTTATCGCCGCGTCGCGATAGCGCGCAGTTTGTGTACAATTTAAGACGGATTACCCTCTTCTTCTGACCTCTTTCTCCGCACTTTTCCGCGACAATTGAATATACATCTTAATGCGAGTCACCCGAGAGCGAGACCTATGCTATATAAAATTAAAACGGATGATATATCGTATTTTTCAAATAAGATTACAAAGTTATAGTATATGCCTCGCCACCGCCAAATAATTTAAATTAAGTAGTAAGCATTTTTAAAAATATTTTTTTTGTTGTTGAATTATAATAGAATGCATATCTTAAAAATATTTAACCAGTATTCAAAAATTAATTATTAGCTTTCTTGAATTTTAATATTTTTTTTTTTTTTTTTTAAGTATGAAACTCGTTCAAAGTTCAATTCGAAATCTGTCGATTCTCATATAATTTAATAAATTCTGAATACAATAGAGATATGCAAGATATGCATGTTTGTCGTACGTTACAGTCGGTTCCTTAATTTCATTATCGTTGTTTGAAAACGACGATTGTTGACGTCTCTTCAGAGATAAATAAAATTCGCCAAATAAAATTTTCCAAATAAATGAAATACGAAAGCAGCATGTCTGCCCATGCGGCGTGTAAGTTACGGCGTGTAACAAAAACTATTAAAATAACGTTGCTTGTGGAAACTCGGCTTGCGTTTGTTGAATCTCGAGAAATTGTCGAGAGCTGGACGATAAAAATTTTAAATCTGACTTTTCGCAAGCACATATGTCGAAGATTTTATGAACAATATCTTGTGTACTGTGTGTGACGCAGGAATGGCGATATATCATAAATCTTTAAAATTTTAATAGATTAGATAATTTTAAACAGAGTTCATAGTTCACTGAATTGCATCGTTGAATCTATAAAGAAACTATAAAGAACAGTTTATATTATTTATTACTGCACTTTATGGGTTCTATTCTGTTTAATCTCAACAACGTGAGTGAATTAGATAATCGGTTAGATTTTTTTAATTCGAAAATATAATATAATGAAAGAATATTATTTATCAAAAAAAGTTTATATTTTTTGTGTCAGAAAATGTATAGTCAATTTTTTTTTAGTTGTATGAATGTTTTAATTGCTTTTAACTTCTATATATAGAGACTTGTATTAATAAATATTTCATTGCAACATGAAATCGGGCTTTGCAAACATGTATTTTGTGCAACGGCCAGATGAATACGAATTTATTATACATATACATATATATACATACATATACATATATATACATGTTAACTGTTAAAAACTAAATCTGATCTAATTCACAGCGTCGTATATGCGTTCCCTCGTATATGCGTACGTATCCCATCGTGTATTCCCCCGATGCAGCATGTTTTCTAATACGCGTTTACGCGTTACGCGTTTACGTTGTTCCAATAATGAGAGTAGGTTGACATAATTGCATCGATATTATCCCCGGTTGCCAACGTGCGCGGATTAAGCTCAGAATAAATGAAAAAATGGAAGGTAATTGGATTTTAAATTAAAAATTCGAGACTCAGCTATTTTCATTTATTTTAACATTTTTATTACTTAATAATCAATGGGTAAATTTTTGAAAAGCTTTTTTTTAATTATTCAATGAAGAGAGGTATAGAATAAAGATTTAATATGCATTATAATATAATATGTGTAAATTTTATAATGCATTTGTGATATAATAATGGTACAATCACTGAATAATATTAAATGTAAAAATACAAATATATTTTTATCATAATATACATAATGAAAATAATAATTACACAAGTAATATTACATAAATAAATTTCAAATAATGTCAGCGAAGTTGAGCGAAGAGAATAGTCGCGCTCAGCATCGATAAAATGACAGGACAATATTTATGTCGTTCATTTTAACGTGCGGAAATAGCTATTGTTTTTACGTGACGCGTCACGTGCGACAAAGTGACGAGGCGGATGTTCATTTCGTGTGCGATGAACGAAAGAATGGCTCTCGTCAAGTTGGCTGGATGTCTGTTGTCCTCGCAACATCGCTCGCAGCTACGACCTGTTCTGAAATCTGTCCGGAAAACGACGTACGATGATGCGGGACATAAAAGCGCCATTCTACTTCGAGATATTAGAGCCGGATATCGCGGTTCATCTCTTTTTCATCGTGGTCCACGATATCTCCTAAAATGAAGGAGTTTTATCACCCGTAAGTCACGTGACTCGCGGTCGTTTCCCTTCGCCGGATAATTCCGGCCGTCGGGATGCATCATTAATTTCCTCGCTCTAGAAAGTATCGCTGCTAAGTTGGAGCACGTAATTGATTCGGGTAACGGAATTTGTTTATAGCTAACTTTTTGTTTGGAGATTGAAAGTTTTGTATCTCGGAGAATAATATGCACAAGATAGCAAAGAAAGAGGGAAGCAAATTTTTTCTGTATCATTTTAATCTCTTATAAAAATATGAAACTGTAAACTTTGGACTTTAATAAAACGGAATAATTATAGTCTTAAATTAATTACGCGTTATCGGTAAGTAAGATTAATGAAGTTGTAGGGAGAAATATGGATGCGCGTAAAAAAAAATTTGTAAAGTGACGTGCTCGTTATATTTAGTACTCGTTTTTGGCAAACTACCCTGTACAGAGACCCTCTTTCCACCTCGACACTCTTTGAGCCGCTCTGCTTAATTAGTCGTCCCTTTCTGTGTGTCATACTGGAACTTTGCGTCTTGCGAATAAACGCAAAGGGAAGCCAACTCGTCTATATTTGCACGCTGGGTAGAAGGTACTTTAACACACGCGCGTTACTACAGAATTTTCACGTGTAATTCTTGGCAACCGGGCAGGAAAGGCGATCCAATTAGATGGAGTCTCACACAGCCCGATATTCAGACTGTTAACTTCTTTCACTTAAACGCTTTTACTTTTTTTTTCTCCGCGGAAGATCCGCGACACGACGGTCTTCGAGCAACGCTTTTCGACACGTAATTAACATGGTTGGCGACCACGACGAACTATAAAGTGTTCTAAAAGTTCCCTTTTTATATCTGACACGGACACTTTGGTTATAGCACGAAAATAAATGGGAATTGCGATAAAGTTTTTAATTAATTTTAATCTTAGACATGCATTTTCTCTCGCAATCAACCTTGCTTATTATACGACATTCTAAAGGCTTGATTTCATCTCAATGTCTATTGTAATTTTTTCATCGACATTACACACGCTAGTGACTGTAATATGAAATGGTGAAAATGATAAGAGATAATTAAGAAAGATAATTTCGAGGAATTTCAACGTTACTATTGTCATCCCGCAATTGAGTCGAAATTCTCTCCCAGCGTTCCTCTCGACTTTGTCAGCGCTCAAAGGCGAACAAAACGGAGGATTTGCAGCTCGCAATATAATTTACAGTACGCGAGGCGTACTCGTTTTTGTCGCGTAAATCGCACGCGCGTCTATCCGAGTCTACCCGGGCGCGAGGCACAAGACGATCCAATTAAACTCCGCCGTATTCGAGTTGGCAGGGATGATCCCTTAATCGGCGATATACATGTGTCAAGTGCAGGATGCGCGGTGCACCCGGCTGACGAAACGGCATAAATCGATTTGCGCCGGCGACGCGAAAGTCGAGAGACGTCGCGCGCTCGCGTCGCAAGACGACTTTGATGAGGTCCGCACGTAATTATTCCCCGATTAATGAGCGGGCATACTGGCGGGATAACCACCAGCGGGGATTTACTCCCGTAATTACGCTCGCTACTTCGACGGCTTAATGAGGAATATATACGCACGTATATACGTGTGTCTTGATCCGAGCTCGGCTGTGTGATCTCATCCCCCGCGGATAAAGCGCGGTTCCTGACGAAGCGGATTACGCCGACACGGCTGTTTTTTTTTTCCGAAAAAAGAATCGTTTTCTTTTAGAAGAAAAGAATAATTTTTTGCTATAAATGAAGAATAATTACCTCAAGATTGTAAATTAATAAAAGAAGATATTTATTCTGAAAACCTGAAATAAGAATTCATTAATTTGTCTATATAATATTATGCGAAAATTTATAGAGTCCAATGATTTTGCTAAAAAAATTAAGTTACTTCTTTTACTTGTGTTACGTTAATTGTATTTTTTTTTAACTATAACAATATTAT